ACTTCAGTAAACTTACATTGTACAATTATTATAGTGTCTGAAGTAACAGTATTTCATCTGACTGGATCTGGAACAAAAACTAAGTATGCATTCTTTTTCTTTCACAATTGCTCAAACAGTAATTCCAAACAATTCATCATTACAGCTAGAAGTCGATTATATCAGCAACACAAAAATAACTTACATTCCAATTGAACAAAATCTAATGTAGAATTGAAGCATCACATTCATCCAACATGTCCTGGCAAAATTTAAAAAAAAGTCACGCTTTGTTTCTTTCCAAACAAATTCATAACATAAGAGACAAATTTGGTTTCAGATATACAAAATAGCAGCCAAAAGAACAGTTTCATTACTACTCAAACGGTAATTCCACAAAATTCATCATTCATTGGACAGAGAGTGAAAGAAAAAGAAAGTGCGAGAGGAGAGAGAGAGAGAAAAGTTATGTTGTTTCAAGTTATATATCACAAAAACCAGAACATTGCTTTGAAAGTAGAAAGATATAAAGAGTAGCAGGGAAAGAAGAAAAAGAAGAAAAAGAAAAAAAAAAGAAAAAGAAAAAAAAAAATTATTTTCCACTCCGTACAGTAAATCCACAAAATTCATTATCTTAATCCAAATATAAACTTCACTACAGTTTACTCACTTTGTACAATTCATAAAGTGATCAGAAGAATCTGCATCTCATCTGGCGGGATCTTTAACAGAAACAATGGATGTGTGTGTGAGAATCTTGGTGATGCACACATTTCTTTCATTAAAAGTATTTCAAAAGTTAGTAAAAATGCAATATAGGGAACATTTCATTACTATTAAAGTTGGTATTTTGTAAAATTTGCCATTTATCTGCTACTTGCACTGCTTTTTGAATTACAAGATTGGCACAGTTTTACTAAAAGAAATAACTTTTAGACTGTAACAAGATTTCTTGATTTTGACACCATTCTACTTCAATCAGAAATTTTATGTAGTCCATCCCTATTCACAATCATCTCCATAACAGGCTTCACTGACCGCTACCTGGTTTAGTTAAGAAATAACATTCACTTGTGATCAGCTTAAAAAGTTTCTGTCGCTTTAGTATTTAAAGCCTCATTTGACAAGTTAATATTATCCACGTCAAACTTATTATTAGATCAATTAGTGGAATTTGCAAGTAGGGGTAATTTTTGAGGAGATCATTGGATGTCATATGCAGTATGATTTTAATATAAGCTTTCAAATTTAATGCATTTGTAGGGATCACTAAATTAGTTAATAGAAGCAATTGTCACTGTACTTTGCTTTGATCCAAAAGTCATGGCAGATTTAAGTAAATTAATCAATATACTCAGGCTTTCATAAGTGCCGATTTCTTTTGTGATAAATTGCTCTAAATTAAGACGAACTGTTAAAAGCCAAATGCCATCCAAACAAATATAACAAAACCCTTCACACAAAAACAAAATGAATTAGCTTAACACATTCCAATGATATACGTAAAAACATTTGTATTCCTGACATTTTTTGGGTCAAACTAAATCAAATTAAAGCCTGTCAACCAATTACCATATCACTTAAATATTGAGAACACACATGCTGATTTGTATTCTAACTTCCTTTAAAGAGAATACAAATTAAAGATTTTTTTGTACACAAGATTGTACACACACTTTGCTGATACAAGAAAAGTGGCAAGAATGAAAATTGAAGAAGTACACCCATCTTCCCCCAAACTTCAAATTTAACTATACTTCAATTATCAGAAAAATAAAAATCTAACATCGTTTAATCAATTTTACATTTAAGAGATGGAGAACTAAAAGGGTAAATTTATTCAGAGTCAAGGTTTTCTTGTTTTGTACAACTCACTTGCACACTCAAGAGAGATCAAGTTATGGAATTTCAAAACTTTCATCTGAAATGAATTAATCACGGACAATATTTACCATGCAACAAATTCATTAAATTGAGGCTTATATATACAAAATTAAGTTTTCACTCCATTAAATTACATTTCTTTATTTTATTTATATATTATATATGTACTTCATATGTGCAATGTGCACTTCAAGTAATAAAATTTACTCTATGAAAATTGACTATTGTCTTAATTCGACAGTTTTTATACCATTTTAATACTAGATTTTAATCAATTTTTTATTATTACACACACACTCCAAGTTAAGAGCTTTATTCAATTTGCTCACTTTCACAAGCTTCAATGAGCATCATCATTGTTAATTATTAATTTAACACTCAGTTTCTATTAAAAAAACTAGCTGCTCAAAATCATTTAATATTATAGAATTGGCACTTAGAGCAACAAATTTTGCTTACTAGGTGCAAGGGACTTCCTTTTAAATATTTATACTCTACATACTAGTAGAGTATTTTGGCATGTCTGGTGCATTAGAGGAACACCACCTTTAAATTATCTCTCCGAGATGGGCTATTATCAAGACATACTGCAGTAGGAGAGGGTGGAGCAGAGCAGGCCATTGCCACGTTGCAAATAAAATATCTTTAGTCATACAATCTAGAGAGACATTTTCGCTGTGATAATGCAGGTTACATCTAAACTTTTATTAAAAAAATTTTTGTTCCCAGAACTTTTACTTACATGTCAAATAAATATCCATACTCCTTTTGTGATAGAGACCCTGCAACAAAACTTTATTCAGTTTACAATTTAAGACTTAAAATATGCAAATGTCAGGCAGAATTTATTCAGATATCCACAGCTGTTGTTGATCATGAATTATCAATTTAACATTTACAGTCATCACTTTCAAAAAATATATGCATGGCTTTTTCAAAACTATTTTACTCCATTTACAAGAATATGAATGCTAAGAAAGTAAACCACAACTGTACTACAAAAACCGTAACAAAAATTTCTGTTCTGAAACTAATTATCTTATGATCTGTGATCACAACAAATAAATTTGTCTTTATTGATTCAACAATGAACGAGTAGAACATGCCTTCTTGCATTGGTTACAAAATTTGGCATTTAGTAACTGCAGAAGTTAATGTAAACTATATCAATGCCTTTTGTAGCGTAAAAAATATATCAGTGGAAAAAGTTGCACCAAATAATCTAACAGTAAGAAATTTTCTTGTTCAGGCATCATGTGAAGGACCCTCCAAAACAATAGTCTGGTTATAGCGAACTTCTGGGAACTAACTAATTATATCAAGAGGTTCACTATCTAATGATGTCAAATATAATAGAATTTCTCCAGAAATTTTGTTGATTTTATTACCTTCAAGGTGAAGCAAAATTCATTAACTGCACGAACTGAAACTTTCAATATTCAAATTCCATTGTTTGCCAAGTACATTCAGTTTCATCAACAGATTCTCTAGATATGTCTCCAGAGTTAATGCTCTCTCCATACTTTATAATGATTGACCACTCCACAACCGTCCCACTCTACAGACACTTTTACATGCCTATTAACATAGGAGATCCAATGAATTTCCAAAACTACGTTCATTATAACCAGAGTTTCATGCATCTGTATCAAACTCTTAGCACAGAATATCAGTTTCACAGAAAATCTTCTGAAACTGTCAGTATGAAGGTTAATAGTTTTTTTTTCTTTCTCTCTCACACGCACACAGAGAGAGAGAAACACGCGCACGCACACACACACACACACACAGAGAGATAGAGAGAAACACGCGCACACACACACACACAGAGATAGAGAGAAACACACACGCACACACACACACACACACACACAGAGATAGAGAGAAACACACACACACCACACACACACACACAACAGAGAAAAACACACGCACACACACACAGAGAAAAACACACACGCACACACACAGAGAAAAACACACACGCACACACAGAGAAAAACACACACGCACACACACAGAGGAAAAACACACACGCACACACACAGAGAAAAACACACACGCACACACACCAGAGAAAAAACACACACGCACACACACAAGAGAAAAACACACACGCACACACACAGAGAAAAACACACACGCACACACACAGAGAAAAACACACAGCACACCACACAGAGAAAAACACCACGCACACACACAGAGAAAAACACACACGCACACACACAGAGAAAAACACACACGCACACACACAGAGAAAAACACACAGCACACGCACACAGAAACACACACACGCACAGAAACAACACACACGCACAGAAACACACACACGCACAGAAACACACACACGCACAGAAAACACACACACGCACAGAAACACACACACGCACAGAAACACACACACGCACAGAAACACCACACACGCACAGAAACAACACACACGCCACAGAAACCACACACCACGCACAGAAACACACAGCACGCAAAAACACACACACGCACAGAAACACACACACGCACAGACACCACACACGCACAGAAACACACACACGCACAGAAAACACACACACGCACAGAAACACACACACGCACAGAAACCACACACAACGCCACAGAAACCACACACACGCACAGAAACACACACACGCCACAGAAACACACACACGCACAGAAACACACACACGCACAGACACACACACGCACCAGAAACACCACACACGCACAGAAAACACACACACGCACAGAAACACACACACGCACAGAAACACACACACGCACAGAACACACACACACGCACGAGAAACACACACACGCACAGAAACACACACACGCACACAGAAGACACACACACGCACAGAAGCACAACACACGCACAGAAACACACACACGCACAGAAACACACACACGCACAGAAACACACACACGCACAGGAAAACACACACACGCACAGAAACCCACACACACGCACAGAAACACACACGCACAGAAACACACACGCACAGAAACACACACGCACAGAAACACACCCCTGAGACCATCGTCACTAGGATGCTGCTGACACAAGAGTATTGGAGTGCGGTATCCACCTACGCCGCAAAGGTCCTGAAGACGCTCCGCTCCGAGGAGCAGTAACGAAGAAGACTCCCGTTATATTTCGGTGACGTGCAAAAAGCCCATCCTTCCTTCTCGCGATGCAATGCCTGACGGCGGTTCCGCAGGAAGGAATAGGAGGAAAGGGAGGGGTTTTTAGTGGGTAGGCATAGGCTAGCTATGAATCCCACACGCTGCGGGCCCCGCTGTGTCTTTAGAAGATTTTCCCCTGCCCACGTAAAAAAAAACCACACACACACACATTCAATGAACTTTGAACACTTTACACCCACCACACTAAGCATCCAATAAAATGAATAATTTGATCATAATTCAGCTGTTTGCCTGACACACCCTTTACTCATACTGAGCTAGATGTTGATAAGAATTTTCATATTTTTTAGAAATAACTTTACTAACCATGCCAATCGTCTCCATTTGGTTATCAACCTGCATCCGCATATAACACCTGTAAAACCATACAAAAGCAAGAATTAGAAGAACTCTCAGTGGTAGCAGGCATTTAACACCTTCCATCTGATAAAGGAAAATCCGGGGTAAATTGTGTTAACTGTAAGCACAATTTCTATCTAAATCTCAGCAGAGTAATTAAAACACACCATAATAAAATTTAATCTTAAATAATGAATATTAGCATTTTGTGAGAGGAACATAACTTATTAAAAAATTGGCCTCTTAGTTTACCTACAAGTAAAACTTTCCAATTACTAAATTAAGTGTATTAAAAAAAACTGTTTCTATTGAAATACTAAAGGTTTCATATCCACACATTGCTGAATAAGACTGGAATCTTGGACCGAATAATTAAGATTTTTGCTAACAAATTACTTGCAAATTAAAAATTAGAATCACACGGCCTGAAATATGCAAAAGAAAAACAAGACCCTAAAATTTAAATTACATTTTGTTATGATACTGAACTAGTGGCAATTGAAACCTCCATGATTTCAGGATCTTTGAAACACCAACACCATCTTGCTGTAGATACAGTGCAAGAACTTTTTTTAAAGAAAGAAAGAAAAAGGAGGAGGGAAAAAAAAATAATAAAAAAAAATTTTAAAAAATGTCTTAATCATGTAGGAGAAAGTGCACACGATGTACATGATGAAAGGTGTAATAACTTTGAAACATATCTATGCATTATTTGCAATGCACTGAACAAAACGAACATTTCCATTATTACCAGCAGATGGTGAGTTTTGCACATACTCTGAATTTAAAGGTATAATATGCCGTAACAAACTAATTTGGTATACAAATGCAATTGTTCACAAGTTAAACAAATTATTTTGTACTTAGAAGAGAAAATTTATGAACAGAATCGAGCATTACCACAGATTAAAATAAGATGACACTAGATCCTCCGTTTTCTTCTGAACATTAAGTCTAGCCACATGAATATGGCTGCTGTTTCAAATCTTATTTTTGATATTTCCATCATACTAAACTCCCAGAAGGAAATAATTTCAATGAAAACCATTTCTTTTTTTTTTGCAAGAAGCACAAGAATTGTTAGCCAAATTCAACAAGATGATTTATAGAAAACGTTGGCAAATTTGTACTTCAGAAAAAACAAAATTTATCCACTTCAGAAATAACGTTTAGAGAATACATCACAGTTTATTCACACTTACCTTTCGTTCTTCCACACCCAACATCAATATATTTGTATATATTGGCAAGGATTTTCTGTATTATGCAGCTGCTAAATTCAATGTAGAAGGGGCACAATAACGCCATTTTGAAGAGAAATAGAAAGGAACGAAGGTTTTATAGCAGCAATTTACCTACTTTTCTGGTCCAAAAACACTTTCCTCTTAGTTAACTTTAATAAAGTTCCCAAACGAACACAAAATTAAGCATGCTGAATCACCTTATCAAACAGTGTGGCCACATTTCCTGGCTTTTTAATTATCTGCTTGGGTACCATGTTCAACTTTGTCCATCATCTTTTGTTCCACAGGAATGTCACCATCTGATAAATTTGTGCCATAATTAATGCAGTCATTTTCTTTACAGTGGTATAATTATTACAAATCAAGTCTTAAAATTTTCCTTCAAAGTTTTCTGCTCTGACACACCCACCCCAGGGCATTTTCCAGACCATTTCAACTTCGCAGACTTTCCCCCATTGGGTGGCAACAATGAAAAGGATTTTTAGGACGACTAACAATATTCCCGTACCTAGTAAATGGATTGTAAAAGATCCATAAGACACTACGGATAGTTTTGATCATACTGACAGCTACTCAAGAAGAAATGCAAAAATCAGAAAGATAAACAAAGACCCTGCTCAACTTAGAACCCCAACATCATTAACTCTTGTGAGAGGCTTCAATTTTTCAAAGTATTTAATGCAATTAGAACTTGCATATTGAAAATTTTTAATAAAAAAGAAAATGTTTAACTGTAAGATATTATCCCTACAATGCACGTAGAAGGTCTGAGGACCCAGAAGGTCTTCATTCTAATATTTAAGCCCCTGACCAGGTAAATTTCACCTTAACAGATATAAATCACACCACTTCCAAAAAATTTCCATACTTTTCTTTCCATAGACAAGTCAATCCAAAAGGTTGCACAGTCCTCAAGAGACCCTTCGCTCACTCGTGCAACAATCTCTGTTCGGTGCATTATGCAGCTTAAATATTTGTGCCAAATATACAAAAAGTTTATTTGGCTTAAGCATTACCCAACAGTTTGTAAACCATGCAATGAAGGAAAGTTTTCCTGTATATAAAATAAAATATATCAAATTCAATGAAAAGAAAATTTCAGCCTACATAATTTTTCAGTTTTCATTAGTGTATTAACCACTAAATACTGTAATCAATTATTTAAAAATGTACCTCAGTATTGAAAATAGTATCCTTTTTCTGGTAAACACCCTCAATCGAAATTAGAAAGGTATTTTGAATTATGGGAAATTCAACCAGAAGGGTCTGCGAGACCAGGTGCATGCACTGATGCTACAGGAAGAGCCACACATACGAAGTTAAGAAGGGCAGGAGCAAACGACATTAAATGGCAAGTACAAGTTAATTGTGAAAATTGATACTAATACTAAATTAATTTCAGACTTGAATCTAGTTGGCACAATCCAACATATGCTGCATATTCCATTCCTCAACATATAGGGGCTCATTTCCCACAAAGATTTCCAACAAACAGGATGCTAGTGAACTAATGACCTCAAACAAATGTACGATTACTGTGCACCAAGATTCGTAACTGAGTAAATAGCAGAAAGTCCCTGCTGGTCCAGGCAAAGTATTTGCCATAATCTTTAAAATAATTTAAAAGAGGTAAATTTTTTATTTAAAATTTCAAACATTGTATTACTTGAACTTGAAATTACATATTTCATTAGACCATTCACAAATATATGAAGAAAAACTCTTGAGTGAACTACTTATTGTACATTAAAACTAAACCTGTTAAATTCGTTTTGCTCCAAACTTACTAATTCACTTAGTTCAGCATGTTCAATAGATAATTTCTAATTTAAGAAGCACCTCTCAACATTGGTGAGATCTAGTACAAGAGGTGAAATAGTGGCACAATGAAATGTTTTTGCTTATTTTTAAATATAAGCACCTAATGCTCTAAGCAAACTGATTAAGCAGCAATACCATGAGACCTTGTAATTCTGATGTTACAGATTTATTATTCTTATTTTTTTAGGCTGTCCATTGCAGCCCAACATTTAAGTGTTATAAAAAACTAAGAGCTTGCAATATGGTAATGCAAAATAAAAAAAGGAAAGAAATATTCAGTACCTTTTCTTTAGACACAATGGTAAGTGATAAAGAATTCTTTTTCTAAATTTAGCAACTGGATTGATCTACTTTTCGTTACCAGAACCTGCAATTAAGAGGTTTTTTTATTTATCAAAAATAACTTCCTTTTTTCGAGCAGTGTTACATACCTTTCTCTCTACTCTATAGTGAGGAAGTAATAAACATAAAATGTTTAATTACAAAATAAAAAAATAATAATAATAATAATAATAATAATCCAGAGACAATATGAGAAGTTTAGGGTACAGAAAAGATCCAGTGTACTATATGAAGTTCATATACATTTTTTAAAAGATTCATATTTAAATTCTTGTACATTTGAACTTTTACTCTAATGAATGTGTCTAAAGGACTGAACTTTATTCTAACTTTTTTGTTCGTTTTTTATTTTTAATTCCTCCTTAACTACAATTTACTGCAGGGAAGTTGTATAATGCCAAGGGAAAAATGATTTCTGACAGGTTTGATAAAGTAGTGCATTTTTATTGCTCAGGCATGGTGAAGTAACAATTCACATTTTGTGACGCAAAAGATTCAAGTGTGTAATTGCAGTAGAATCTGAACTGTACAAAGGACTCTCCAAAAATAATTCCATCATGACGAATACTAATTTTTCTGAGAAAATCATAAATTAAAAAAAATAAGTTATCTTTTTTGTTATCCTTGAAGTGGTTGTTAAGCTCCCAGAGGGGTAACCTAAGAGGACTTCTTGCTAAGCCCTAGTACTTTTAAGTTCAAATGCGAGCCTGAACAAATCATTTTGCAGGTTTAAGTCATGTTATAATATTACTTAACTCTTACCAATATAAGCAGACAGATGAGGCACCTTCAGTTGTTTTTTCTCCCCTAAACTATTTGACTGTATGGAGTTCCATTGCACAAGGAAATGGTTTTAGTAGCAAAATCCAATTGGTTTTCTATGCATTTCAGTTATGTTCGAGTACATTAAGAAACAGATGCTTGTTGTCAATCGGCACGCAGAGCTAGCTCAGAAAGTACTCAATTTTGTAGTCTAGTCTTCTTGGAAGAACTATACCAAATAAAAGTTCTGATAAAAGAATTCTGAAGGAATCTGATAGTAGGGCAAAAATTAATGTAATGGCTAGGTATGTAAGTTTTAACAAATAGAACAGTAAAAAAATCTTACAAGAATTTAGTTCTATCCCGATCTCTTTACGATAAATTAACAAAATACTAGAAACCAATAGACATTATCTGGTAGTATTTCACAAGACCATAATAATTGGATGATAAAAAGAGAAAGCCGCTGAGAAATGTGTGGTTTACCCACATTGCATTCAATACGAACATCAATGCACGTTTAAGATTTCAACTCTCTTTAGATAATCATTTCTACATTTTTCCAAGTACATAATTTAGTTTATCGTTTGCTTTCTTTTTTCCTTCACCATCCTTTATGAGAAAGTTACTACAGCTTTTCTGAAGATTTGAATTCACCTGTTTTAACAAGAGAAAATTCTATAATAAGAAATGATTAAAACTAATTCAGCATGTTTATTTTCCTGTTACAAGAAGAGTATCATCATAAGATGATTGCAAAATATGTTGTATATTACTCGTTCATAAATAATAGAAATTAATGATTGAAAGTTTAACGTCCTTGAAAGATAGGCCAAAGAAATTTGGCATTGCATGTAATCAAAAATTTAATAATTAAAAATGAAAAATTATTACAATTACAAATAAATCAACAACATTTATATTCTATTTTGTTAAGACCAATTGCTACCAGACTACAATGGCCAATTAACAGTGCAACAAAACCAGGGTGAGGTCACCCGAATGCTTTCAGTTGTTCCTTGCAGTTTCCACATCTTTCTGCAATAGAGCATCTACATTCCTAAGCAAGATAAAAAAACACAGCTTAAGCGTAAAAAAAATTTACACCTAAAATTCGAGTAACAAATTTTTGTAACTATCTTCCCATCTCTAACTCCAATTTTTTTTAATTAATAAGGAGTGAAGGGTAATAACTTGGTAAAAGTATCTTATAAGGGCACAATTCTCAACAAAATCTATGAACAAATTTAACACAAGTAAAACTTATTTTAAAGGTCCAAAATTTATGAATTTTTAAAGACAAATGGTTGCAAAAGTAAAAAGGATGACCAATTATTTCCAAATTATTTTCTATTAACTAAAAGCATGTATCCACCAATTGTTCTAGGCCATTGATTTAGGGTTTATGTGTAGTAGATCCTGCAATAAGAGCTCATAATAGTCATTTTAATGGACATCTCTTAGAGCCTCTTTATGCAAGGTAACCTGTAACTAGATGAAGACATGTTAAATATTAAATAATTTTTTTTAAGGACAGTGGCAAAATAATATAGGAGTTGCACTCTGCAAATATTTCAGATCTCCATTAAGCATAGTATCAAGATACAGAGGAGTCCTTCAATCTCTACTTGAACATAAGTTTTATATTCTTTGTGCTAAGGCTGTCTCAATGAAAAAGACAAAGGTGGTAACAGAACAATAATACAGTGTTCCACTTTTAAGTAGATATGCACTAGAATCCTTTTACTCTTATTGTAAAAGATTATTATATATTTCTGTCTTCACATATTTATACTACTTTTTAACTATTAGATAGTATTAAAATTGATTGGGAAAATAATTCCACAATATTGAAATGTACAAGTGACTGCAACTGCAGCACAAGGAAAAAAATGCACTATCCAACTTTAATAAAATATGCAGAAGGAAAGTGAAAATTAGTAATGTAATGGCAAGCTTATTTATTAGTTTTAGAACAGAAATCTGCATATACTTCAAATTCTTTGCTCAAATTTGTTTGAAAACTAAGTCAAATAATAATGTATCTATGCAGAACCACATAGATTGTTTAATATAATATATTTTTTTAAGTATTATTACTAAGGTTATTTCACAGCTCATTAAAAGTTAACTGTGACTAAATAACTATTACGACAAAAATGAAATAAGTGTGGTAACTCAAATAAATAACTTAACTATTGCCAACCAGTCGGTTCAGGCTAAAAAGTAAAAAACAAAAAGTAAAATTAAAATATTCATCCGTATGAAAACCAGTAAACAAGATTGAGAGAAGTC